GGCGCTCACGTTTCGTTTGACGTCCCAAATACACATATGCTCATTTCGCGTATAATTTGTTTTTATCGCTTGAGAAATGTTGTGCTCGGTACGTCAAATAGGTTCCTCCGTTAGCTTGTCTGCTAAGAGTTTTTACATTCTGCGTTATGCATTTATTTGTTAACAATCGACATCTACCCAGACTGTATTCGTTTACGCTCAATATTCATTCCTACACACGACAGAGTGATACACAGTCTAAATAAGTGTTGAGTATTATACAGCCGATTTCTAATTCTTGCACTTTTATACATATTTAGTCGAACTTGCAACATGTTTTTCTTCTAAACCAGAGAAGTCTGACCTTCAAATGACTTTTTTGATTCGGCCATTCTCTCTGTTTTTGCAGCTATATCGCTTTATTGAATTGATATGTGTATTAATTAACGAAGTGTTTTGCAATGTATTTTCACAGATTAAATAATGCCACTCTTTCGCTTCTTGTTAACTAAAAATTAAAACTGATTTATGATTGCAAACTTGACGGTAAGATAAGCGCGAGGTAGGGAGAAACATTTTTATGCATAGGGAGAATTTGATTGACGCTTGCAGATAAAAATACTTGACACCTTCCCTTCACGATGTGGATGCAGCTCTCAAAATAATCGATCACCGAACTGATTCATTTTCATCGTTGTCGTTAATGCAACACTTGGCGGTAGCCATAGTGTGCCTGATCGGATTTTCAAGCTTGAATTTCGATAACCAAATATTTTGTGTTGCCATAAAGAGAATGGCTCTAAAAAGGGATCATTTACACAAAGGCCTATTTTACTCGTGGAGTTAAGGTAAAACAAAGTGGGTTTGAGAAATTCTGTCAGAGGTTTAGCATTCCGTGCATGATTGTTTTACATATATCGCATTTAAGATGACAAGACCACCTAAAGCGACAAGGCTAACAGGCAGTTCATTAAAGGTCGCTTGTGGTGCTTAATTCCACTTAGGCTCATGTAGCCATTTAATATGCAAAAATAGCGTTGAAAATTCACATTAAGTTATTGGCGTATTGCTGCGTCAATAACTATCAAAGTGTCATTTTTTATTCAATTTCGAATGCAGAATAAGCAATAATTTGGTAAGACGCTTTTTGAAATTGGCGGTTAATATATCCTTCATAAATGGTAGCCACTTAAAGGAAGTCAACTACTGATGTGTACATTATAAACAGACGTCAGTTTGCATCACTTTTAAAGTGATATATTGAGAAATAAGAATTGTACAATACGTTTATTTTTTGGCCTACGCAAATTCTACAACCAAATGCCATCAGAAGGCAATTTTCAAATCGTCGGTAATAAAATTAAAATCAACTAAAATACAGTTTAACGATTTTGTGGTACACAAAACAGCCCCAGTTACGTAAAGTAGCCTTTATATGGCTATGAATGTCATTGCTAATTTTAACACTTCCATTCGTTTCGACGTTGGGTCTGTCTGCTGCTTTTTATTTGCATGCGGGTCACCTGGTAATCCCAGAGTCACTCTGACATGCTAATGATTGGATTATTCATTTTAAATATGATGACCTCTGGGAAAAAGTGCTCATCATCTTTGTATGAACACAAACCTGCAAACTGGGAAAATAGACAAATCAGCAACAACAACAACAACAACAAAAACAGGCGTGTGCATTATGTCAGATTAACTCCTTCTGATAAACCCTCCTTGTGGTTGGTTAGTGGACATTGTTGGGGCTAAAGTGTTTACGCATGAAACGATTATTTGCTTCGCATTATAGGTGGAGGCAACACTAGTGGAGCTTTGTGTGATCCCACCTCATGAGACCGGCGGCCTCCCTCTAACCCATTACGAGTTGCGAATCCAGCCACACCCGAAAGATCGTTTTCATGGTCCGTTTGCCTACCTTCCCGGCCGACGCGTCGTACGCCTGCCCGATCTCACCCCAAACCACTTCTACCGCTTCGCACTCTCTGCCGTGACGCCCGCTGGCAGAGGTCCCAATACCTATCTGCAGGTAGGTTCTTTGAAGTAAGAGGTGTCCCAAGCAATGCGCGTCCTAGGCTTTAGGAATGTGCAATTTGTACTGCTTACAGGCACTGCTTTTTAAGACTCAAAAAGCGTTTTAGGGAAGTAACAGAATCCATGCTTCTAAGCTGCACTCCTTTCTATAAAGTTGTAAGGCGTCTGTGCAGCCATTCTTGGAATGCTTTTACAAATTCTGGGCGGCACTTTCCGCATACCTGCTCGGGTTTTTTATCAGTTGCAGCTGTAAACTATTTGCAGGTGATGAAATGCAGTAAGAAAAAGGCGTTCCTGGTTACATTTGGTAACGATATTGTGGGCAAAAGGAACACTTTACCCAACTACAACCTGGTCGTCAAAGACTGCAACAATATTTGTTCACCTGTGGTCTAAAGTACCCTAGGCATGCAAAACAATTGCTGTCCGTCCTCTCGTATAGGTCACAGAACACCGACTGTCTAGCGTGCTGCCCCACCCATAAAACGCCCTTTGCCATAGATAACCTATGGCACGATCCAGTCTACTGACAGTTAAGTGAGTCCTTCTCTATACGGTTGCCTACCGACCGTACTCAACGGACAAAAAACTGTAGGAGCAAATCTACTTTCACAGTCTGCGCAAGTAACAGCATTCGATCCTTAATTGATCATAGTTTTTCGGCTACCTACGAAGTCTCAAAGTCCGACGTCCTAAGACAAAGTGGAAATTTCCATTTCTGAACAGCACTCAGGATAGACGCTTAGGCGACACTCCTAATTGATATGTTGTGAGTCGGGAAGTGACGTAATCACTGTTTATAATGACCACTCACCGGACGAAGTCGACACAAACAATTTCAAAAAGAATGGAGACCAGCGGGATGTGCTGTTCAGGGTTACTCTAGCTGGGTGGCTGAGTTTGGCCACCTTCGGGGTACAAAGGCGTCGTAATATGAACGTCAGGCACTAATCGGTGAACTAGAACGTCCACAAAGTTGTCTACATAGCGCTTACTTAGGTCGATATATCAACAGGTTCTGTTTACTTCGGATTGCGTAAATGACAAATTTTTGTCGTGCAGAGCTAAAAGAGATTTTTAAGCTTTACTTTGGTCGGGTGGTCACATTTACTGACGCGTGCTACTGACGAATGTTTGGGACTGGTAAAACTTTGCAGCAAGGCTCTGTTTGCTAAGACAAATATATAAATGAGAAATTATTTCTTCGGAAAAAAATTGGGCAAGGCAAAGATGGCCAGCTACGCAGTGTTTAATGGCGCCATAAATTTGTCAAAGTTTTTCACAGCATTCCAGACGAGAGTTTTCCAATGAGGATTTATGCAGTTCTGTATAGCGGGACTCATAAATTGAGTCAAGCCTGACTTGAAATTACGTGTGCTGCCGTACAGAGTGCTTTCCGATGCCCGTCCGTCCTTGATGCACCACGGTTTGCTATTTAGTCAGATGACCCCATGGTGCTGTCAGGGGCACCAGGTATGGGTGTTTATCTCACGTGTTCCAGACTGGATTTCAGCGTCCGGGATATAACTTAAGCAGAACCTTGCTGCTAGGCCTGCACGCCTAATTGTCGGAACTCCGAAATTTGTAAATTTGTCATGTTTTCCTGACGCGGTTGGACATGGGAATATGAACCCCTCGTATTAAGGGTGGCCTGCCCTAAATTCCAGGAGGTCTGCGTTAAGGTTAGGGCTAGTGTTATTAAGGGTTAATGTTAGGATGAAAGTTAGAAGAGTTCAGATTAATTTTATGGTTGGGATTAGGGTTAAGGTTAGGAATAAAGTCAAGACACGTAGGAGTAACCCCCCTGGAATTTCGCGCACAGCAATACACTAGAAACAAAGGAAAACATAATTCTTGTCTTCTCTTTGTTTCTGACAGCAAAACAAAGCCATTACAAAGTGTGGCTCACTGAGAACCTATACTGACGATGGCCTGTTAAACACTTATTTAAGTCTTAGTCATACTGCAATTTTCACGCAAATCTTTGCCAATCTTTGCGCACCGCCGTAGTACCTATTGGAGCGCAACTCGCATCAAGTTTCTTGTCATGCTGGCGTTGAGGCTGATTTTAGGACTACCTTCATTGTACAGTGCTACTGGGCGTGAAATAACACGGACAGTGTTACTTTCTCATTCACGTAGGCAGTCTTTCAATGTTCCTTTACGATGGTTTAAGGCATAATTGTCTACTAAGATACCGTGCGTAATCACCCAACCACTTGGCGCGACAGGTTCTTAATCGAATTATCTAACATTAACTACCGCCATTTTACTGGACTATGGGCGGCTGATGGCGTGATGAATG